ATACAATATGACAAAAAGATTAGTCAAGGTTAAACCGAATATTGGGGCAGGTTTTTTTTTAATAAATCTCCACCAATAATAGTCGTGACAAATAATTTTCTTCCATTCTCTATGCGAAGAAAAGAATTTAAGCCTTGCAAGTAGTGCGAGTCACGCGATCAACTAAAAGTCAGATTCGTGATTTCTGATATCTGGGGGACTGCGAATTTGAATTTAATCCTTCGATCGAATACATTCACAAATTCTGACCTCGCGAATTCTCTCGAAACGACATGATTAACAAGTGGTGGGTAGACACTCGTTTCCCGGTTTATTAACGTTTATCAGTAGTTTGTGAATTTTTATCCATTTACGGGAAATCCCTACACAGATTGCACGTGACATTCAAAAATATATAAAGTATTTATTTGTTGCAATATTCAGTAAATAAAACACTTTATTATCTAGGTTTCATTTTTTTTTTATTTTAAATTATATATTTATAATTATATAATATAATTATAGAATATAATTATATATTTTAAATTATATTCGTAATGATATGAATTTGCATACATATTGGCAATCTTTTGGGAACCAATGGTGGCTAGAAGGTCAAGAAACATGATACCATTAGATCGTCTACCGATGAATAATATTTAATTTATTGATAGATTTATTTACAGATAAGTAATATTACTTAAAGTTGTAAAATATTTCCTTTAATGAAATTGGTCGACATATAAGGCGCAAGATGGCTGATATTTTGACAGCAGGTCGCGCTGTAATTGAGGTGAGAAGGTATAAAAAGACGTGCGATGCATCGGTAGGCCTGCATCTAATTGTTACTAGTGTATCATACGTTTTATATATGTGCCATATGTATAACAAAAAGACAAGACTCTTATATTTCCGATGGTACGTAATATTTCGAATTAAAGAATTTCATCGAAATCATGCTCTAATAATAATTTAATGTATTCATTTCGATGTATTGAAGCTTTCCTTTCACTTCCTGATTCTAAAGAACTTTCAGAACTTCACTATGAAGCTCTTATAATATTGCAGAAGTAAGAAGAAAAGAATTAGCCTGTAAAAAGATTTATAAAAATTTCAGATTCTAGCCGAAGATATTGACAAATTTCCCACCGATCTCGAGCAAAGCTATTACGTATCATCAGAAATGTTTTTCGAACTTTCGCTGACAAAGATCTGCGAAACGTTATTCAGTGGATCAGATTTCAAGAGAATTTTTATCCACGACGTTGCATCTCACACGTTATGGATATTCTCGCAAAATACACGGGGCATTTTGTATCTCGTATTAGATGTGCACTATGTCTCTTAATCTACTCGTAAGAAAAGTAACAATTAATCGAATCGCGTGTGAAGCTGGCTCTCAATTGGCAATCGATTTCATTCAACGAGTTAAATACTCTCTAACAAAAGTAATAAACCATCTGAAGGTGTCTGAAAGTCTTACTTATTCTGAGTGGAATAAATCTGAAAACGATCGTGACAAGTTGACCGATTGTCAGAAAATGATGGAACAATTAACGTGAAGCGAGGCAAAAATCGAAAGTTAAAATCGTGTAAAAAACTGACGCTGTAACCAAATCCAAAATTTCGGCTCGTACAAAACATTGGTTGGTGTTTTTTCTTTCGATCAATGCGTTGATCTTCTCGATCAATCAATCTTACAGACGATTTCGATCCGTTGTCTTTTAATAGACGAAGAATTAAAAAAAGAAAAAAAGAAAGACGATTAGACTCCGGGGACTCTAGGGACCAAAAGTTTCAATACTTTTGATAATATAGTAATATAGTATATTGATAATATATGTACAGATTATATACAGTGACCATAAAAAAGGTAATCAGTTAATTTTACAGATGTACAACTTTTAAATAGCAGTGGATTTCTCAGTTGAAACTTGCATTCGGATTTCTCGACGTGTTGCTTGAAGTGAAATTCAGTAAAAAAATTGTGGAGGTGATGACGTTCAGTTGTCTACTGTCATAAAATTGACCAATGAAGACGAACGAGGGATAAACTATATACACCCAACTGTACTTTATGTATCGATAATTCTCACTTGGTAAATTGAAACAGTTGAATCGTGAATCGTGTATAATTCGTGTACAATCTTTTCTTGCTACTGGCCCGAATCTGTCGTTGTTGTCATTGTCGTTGTCACAGGTTCCTATAATATTAGTTTTCGTGGGAAATTTGTGGTCTATGGAGTTCATATTGAGGGAAAGAAAGGAATTTCGTAGGTGCCCACAATTAACTACATTTTACATTTTGTGTGAATTATTTGATTTAGATTTTTTTCTTTTTTTTTTT